CTGTTTTAATACCAATACCATTCTGTTTTGATTACTGTAGCCCTGTAGTATGATTTGATGTCCTACTTCCCATTTTGTTCTTATTTCTCAAGATTGCTGTAGCTATTTGGGATTTTTTATGGTTTCATAAAAATATTAGGAATATTTGTTCTAGTTATAGAGGTCACCTTCAGGGGGGACCTCTGCCACCAAGGTGTCTCTCCTGGCATTCACCCTCTCTCTGTGGGTTTGGGGTCAGCCTGTTTTGCATTTCCATCCCTCCTACCAGTCTTGATATGGCCTCTTCCTAAAATCCAAAGCTATAGTGGTTCTGCTCAGCTAGTGTTCAGATGAATTCCAAGGTTGATTGTTCTATAATTTACATGCAATTTTGATGTGACCCTGGGAGGCAGTAGGCACAGCATTCACCTAATCTGCCATCTTGTACCTCCTTCTCTATTGTCTTCATTTTAAAGTCTATTTTGTTTGATATAGATATTGCTACCTAAGCAAGAAGATTATTTCATTTGATTTACACATTAAAACCTTTATCCTGGCTGCTACTGCCTGGAAAATTACCCCCCCCCACCCCGCAACCCAAGTCAAAGAGGAAGCAAAAAAAGACCAGTCATACCTTGTTGCTATGGTCCACATTAGAGATAATGGTAGCTTGGAACAGGTGCACCTTTGGATGAGTTGTTGACCAGTACTATTTGAGATGCAAAATAAACATCCAGTAGAGATAATGAGCTAATTATTGAACTAAAACTTTAAATTTTGTTAAGAAGTATGGACTGGATACTTAAACTTGAAAAGTGTTTAAAGCCAATAGAGGATGAGATCACTAAGTTGTAAGGGTAATTACAGAAGTTGTCTGTGGCTGAACACAGAGGTATTCCAACATGAAGACATTAAAAGAAGACAAAAGAGAAAAAGGACACTGGAAGGGAAAAAGACACAGTAAAAAGTACAAAAACTATGAGAGGGTGGATCGTGGAAGCCATATGAAAAATGGTTTCCAAGAAAAGAAAATCAATTATTTGAGGCAAATGCTGCCAAAATGCCAAGTACAATGACTTGGAACTGATCGTTAGATTTGGCAATATGGTGTGTTTAGCTTATTAAAAAATCTGTGTTGGTAAGAGTGATGGTGACAAAAACCTAATTAGTGTAAATTCAAGAGAGAATAGGAAGAGCGAAATTGGAAACCTTGCAATTCCTTCAAAGTGTTTTGATGTAAAAAAGTTTTGATGTAAATAAATGGGCCTGTAGCTATGGAGAAGAATGTGGGATCAAAGAAGGTTTTGTTTTGTTTTGTTTTGTTTTGTTTTAAATTGTTTTAGCATGAAGGAATTAGAAGTAAGTTTGTAAATGAGAATGATCTAATACAAATTTGATGATTCAAAGGAAATAAGGAGAACTGCTGAAGGAAGGTCCTGAGTAAGCAAGAGAGATTGGGATGCATTGCACAAGTGTGTAGATGGACCTGTTAGAAGTGCATGGAGTTCTTCCCACAGTGAGAGTACACAAGGTTCAGCATTAGATCACAGATTCACATGATTGGATAGATGTGGTGGTAGGAATATGTGCAAGATCTTGTTAACAAAAAAAATAATAGACCAAAAATGGAATCATTTGCTCCCATGACAGCAAAGCAAGACTTAATTGCAGTTTCAGCTTCTTCCAGTAATGTGATCTTTAAACAGTCAACAATGGTGATAGAAGGAGAACTGACTCTGTGTGGTGAACACACAATGTGACATATAGATGATGTATTACAGAATTGTACACTTGAAACCTATGTAATTTTACTAACCAGTGTCACCCCAATAAATTTTTTTTTTAATTTATGTCTTCTGATGTTGTGCTCTTCCCAACAAAAGAGATCAGTAGAAAGTGATGGGTAGAGCTTATATGTCTAGGACAGGGGTTGGCAAACAGGTCATGAGCCACATGCGGCTCTTTGGGTACGTTCCGTCTCAAAAGTTTGCTGACCCCTAGAAGAGCCAATCCTGTCCCTCACAACAATTTAAAAATTATTCGAGAGCCATAATATATTTTTACATAATCACCATTATGTGAATAATATTCTTTATAAATTTTATGACAAATGAAATGATAGTTTTATTTTCATTTTCAATTTTACTTCAGAGCCTGCAGCTCGCGAGCTGCAGTTTGCTGACCCCTGGCGGCTCTTCCATCTCAAAAGTTTGCCAACCTCTGGTCTAGGGAACTAAGTACAACAATGATTTTCTGTTTCAGGTTAAATAATTGGAATGTGTCTGAGTATCATCCAGAAGTGAACTCATTCTTAGGATATCTGGGGAAAGAGCCCATATCTTGAACCAGGTGTAGAAATAACAGTGATAGCAGGTGTATACATAGTCAGAAATCTCTAAGGCAGTAGTCTCCTCAGATAGATGAGATTGAACCCTCAGGTTTGATAGATATAATTAAAACTATACAGAGATTATATAGCTCTTGCCTCACTCTAAATATATAAAGAATATTTGTCCCTGTTTTGTCATTTACAAAGGATTTTCACTCTTTTTGTTTCATGTGTTTATCACAAGAAACTTTGGATATAAGTTTTACAGAGGATACAGGGGCTTAGAGAAGTTAAATAATTCAGAAATAGAGCCAGGGCTGGCCGAGTGGCTCAGTTGGTTAAGAGCTCACTCAAGAGTGTGAACTCTGAGCAACAAGGTCACTGGTTCGATTTCTGGCCCAAGCTGAGCTGCTGCTGAGCTGCCAACAGGTGGCAGGATGGCTCAGCTAAAACAAACAAACAAACAAACAAACAAACAAACAAACAAACCAGAAATAGAGCCAAGACTCAAAATGGAGTCATTTTCCTACAATGCTTATGTTATATTCACTTCACTTTTCTGACCTCCAGAAAACTGCTATTTAATATTTTTAAGTAGCTAACTAAATATACAGATATAAATTATCTATTGAAAAGGTTGAATGGACAGGGCAATATTTTTAAGGTTACAGTCTAAAATTAAAAAAAATCTTTGTATTTACTAAGTAAAAGTGACCATTGGGTAGCATGAAGTACCTTTATTTTGGGTTCTCTTGGATTTCAACATAAATGTCCCTCCCACCCTCCAAGAAAAACCAGTCAAATTTATATAAGACTGAACTATAATGAGCTATTTATGAAATTAAAATATTTGGACACAGCCCTAACTTTTAAAATTAACAAAAGAGGGAAAATGTAGCCAGTGAAAAAATCAGTTGGCACAAGTGAGACATTAAACAGTAGATGGAACTGTTGACCAAGCTAAGACTCCACGTAGTTATAACATTATTTAATGCCCATTTCACATGTTTATCCTTAAAGACATCATAAGAAATGTTCACTATAGTAATGTATGAATGTATAAGTTTGGAGGTTGGAATGTGAAGGAGTGTTTCTTCTTCATTAGAGGGTTCCTACAGGCTTCAGTTTGGTGTTTCAAAATGAGTAGGAGAACAACCTGACTGAGTGGGCACTGAGGAAGGCAGTAAGGGCCATTCAGTGGCAATAAACTGTAGAAAGGCATGAGGATCTAAAATAGGACACCAGAGTCCCTAGCTGTTATTGGATTGTAGGCTGTGTGGAGCTAGATGACAGGCTGAGGAGAGGATGCTGAAAGTGGATGTGACTAGTGAAAGATTGCATATTAATTCAGGTCTTAGAAAACCTTAAATTATAGGATTGATTGTTTTAGTCTTTTCTTTTGTTTAGTCACTAAATTACCAAATGGCTATATTCTTCTTACCCATCTAAATCCTCCCAATCCTCTTACCCCACTAATCCCTGCTGTAAATTCTCTTTTAGTTCCATCCACTAGTAACACTATTCATTTTGCAAGCATCTCCAGAAGCAATCCTATCTTTTTTTTTAACTGGGTAAATCAATCACAGATAACATCACCAACGACTTTTGTATATTCTCATAATATAAATGCCACTATAATTACTTGGTGCTACATCCTTCTTTAACTAGACTGCCAAAAGATTTTAATCTCTTTCCAAAACTGTTTCTCTTACATGATCCTGAAACTTAGGCCTCCATTTTCCTATATGGCCAACCAGAAATTTATGTGAAAAAAGGTCCAGAATTCAAGAGCTGATTAATTTTGTAGATGCTTATTTATCTCTGTTATCACATAGATAACAGATATGATGTAAGAAACTTGAATTGTCCATAAAGAAATGACTTCAGCTAGGTGTTAAACCTATGTAGCTCTAAATGGGTAAGGGGAAACTCGATGTTCAAAAAAGAGTGTTATAGAATATATTTAAAACTTTAGCTCTGGGGGCCAGCTGAGTGGCTCAGTGGTTAAGAGTTGGCTTGGGAGTGAGAGCTCTGAGCAGCAGGGCTGCCAGTTCGGTTTCCACATGGGCCAGTGACACTACAGCTAAGATGGTGAACAAAAGCTTGACCTGGAGCTGGGCTGCTGTGAGTGGCCGGCAAAGGCCTAGGCTGCAGTGGGGCTGCAGTAGGCTGCCGTGAGCCACCATGAGTGGCTGTCCAATGGCCGGTGACTGACTGCCTCAGCCGGGAAGAGCACAATGACCATAATACCAACATGTGCCGGTGACATGGCATTCTCCACAACTAGAATGAAGAACAACAACAAAAAAAAAAACCCCAGCAACTTGTCTGTTCCCCTCCCCCAATTCCCCAATAAAATCTTTTTTAAAAATCCCCAAAACTCTAGCCCTGCACTGGGGCAGCCTCCCATCATCATTTTATTCAACTATCTTGATCTCCTTCTGTACCAAGCTGCCCAGACAGCCCATCTACTTCCCAATATCATCGGTTCTTTCTCTTATATTTGATGTTCCACAACATCGGTGTTCTCTTGTGAGATGGAGGCTTGTTTGCACTTTGAATTTTTAATCCTTTTGTTTTCTCTTCCTCTCACCTAACTACTAATTAATACACCCCAGAATTTTAATTCTAGGGACTCTGCTTTTTCCTCTCTAGAGGATCTTCTAAGGTCCTCATTGAAAGGCCCATCTTTTCAGGAAAGCTTCCTGACAATGGCCCAGAGCAAAGCATAATTGACCTCTTTGTTCCTCAGGGTGTATACCACAAGGTTCACTATGGGGGTGATGATGGTATAGGTCACTAAGATTAGATGCTCTTGATCCTTGGTGTTCTCTGACTTGGGCTTGAGGTAGGCAATGGAGGCATAGCCATAGTGTACAATGACCATGGTGATATGAAAAGCACAGGTAGCAAAGGCCTTCTTTCAGCCCCCAGCTGAGGCAATCTTGAGGATGGTGGAGATGATGAGGATGTAGGAAACAAAAATCAATCCCATGAGAACCAGGATCACCAGCATACTGATGATCAAAGTAAGGATCTCAGTGACAGTTGTGTCAATGCAGGAGAGTTTCATCACAGCTTGGATGTCACAAAAAAAATGATACATCTTTGTGGCACAGGAGGGCAACCTGAACACAGCTGATACCTGTGTCATGGCCACAATTAGGCCAATTCTGTAGGCCCCCACCAATTGGATGCACACTCTCTTATTTATGCTAACAGAATACCTTAAGGGGTTCCAAATAGTTACATAGCAGTTGTACTTAATCACTGCGAGGAGGAAACAGTTGTTGATGGCCAAAGTGGTGAAGGAGAATATTTCAGTGGCACAGCCAGCCCAGAAGGTGGGCTGACTCAAGCCTATGAGGTTACAGAGCATCCTGGGTATAATGACGAGTGTGTACGCAGTCTCTCAAGCTGATAGCATGCTGGAGGTGTAGCAGTGATGATCAAGGCTAATGATGGTCGCAATGATGACATTACCTGCCAGGGTTAATATGTACACTGCAAGGAATACAACATAGAGGGTGAGCTGGTGCTCATGGAAGCTGGAGAAACCCTGGAAAGTTAACTTCCTCACCAAAGTGTGATTCTCTTTTTCCATTAAATCATATATAGTATTTAAAAAAGAAAAAAATATATACAAGGAACAGAGATGGACGATTTTTGTCAAATAACAGGCTGGGCAAATTCTTTTCTTTAATCTACTTTAGATCTCTGCTTATTTATGGTCACATTCATACTTTTTTAAAATTAAAGTTTATTGAGGTGACAATGGTTAGTAAAGTTATAGGTTTCAGGTGTACAATTCTGTAATACATCATCTATATATCATGTTGTGTGTCACCACCCAGAGTCAGTTCTACTTTCATCACCATATATTTGACCCCATTTACACTTATCTACCACCCCCACCCTCTTAACCTCTGGTAACCACTAAACTATTGTCTGTGTCTATGAGTTTTCATTTCTTTACTTGTTTGTCTTGTTCCTTTGTTGCTTTCGGCTTTATATTCCACATATCAGAGAAATCCTATGGTTCTTGACTTTTTCTGTGTGACTTATTTTGCTTAGCATAATAATCTCAAGATCCATCCATGTTGTTGCAAATGGCGTTATTTCATCTATTCTTATGGCATTGTTTATATATACCACATCTTCTTTATTCAATCATCTACTGAAAGACAATTTAAACCCAGAATTGTTGACAGTAAAATTTTAAATTGAAAAGTAATATATTTTACATTAACATTTAAAAACATTATTGAATACATTAAAGTTCATGGTGTCATGCCAAGCTCTATGCTCTGTAGTTACCTACTAATTCCTCCACTTCTAGGGTTCAGGTAGAGATCTTGTTACTATGGTTTACACACTAGATTTTCATTCCAATCTTTCAACTCTGATGGTACTGCTCCTCTCAAGTTCTGTCCTACAGTCCAACTCCACTTCCTGAATACCACTAATTTTCCAAATCTTCACAAAGCCCATGACCTCTACAAAATTATTTTCTCCTATTTTTCTCTCTCATAGACACTAGGACACTTCACAGCTTAATATAATTTTACCCTTTAACAATAGAGCCCATACATATATTTTATTTATCATATAGCTCCCTGTGTAAATCATTGAAGTCTTTTTCCAAACTCACTTACTTTTCTTATTGCAAATCTGTGGCTCAACAGAATAATAGAGGTAGAGGTCAGAGATGTAACCCATTGGTCACAAGTATTCACAAATCAAGGTCATGAAGAAAAGGCACCTGGATTTGGTCTTCCACCTGCCCTACTGCCTGTCCAGAGGTGGAAGAAGAAAAGTTACAAGATTCTAGATAGTCCCTCTAGATAGAGGAGGAGGTTTTGATGCAAAAACAAAGGTTCTCTGAGGATAATCTTCCAAAGTTTCAGGGCTGCTGAGACACACAGATCTGCATCTGGCTGCAAGGGCAGCACTGGGATTTCCAAGGCTCAGAAATTCATCACCCTCCACATTCTTCCACAGGGGTGGTGTCCTGAGACTGACATGACCTGGTCAGAGAAAAGAAGACCACCTCCTCAGGAAATTTCCCACCTCACAAGGAGCTGGAACAGCACAAGAAAAAATAAAATGCTCCAGAACAAGAGAAAATAAAACACTCAAGTGTTACCTACTGGAAAACAAATGATTTTTCATATTAACCTTTTGCAGAATTCACTCCCATAGATGCCCAGGAAGAGAAATAATCCATTAATTGCGTGAATAAACAAGGTAATAATGCAGCTCAGAAAGAAAATAAAAAATTCTCAAAGCAGCCAAAGAAAAAAAGACAGTAACCTACAGAGGAAAGCTCATTACATTATCATCAGACTTTTCAGCAGAAACTCTACAAGCCAAGAGGGAGTGGAATCAAATATTCAAACTATTGAAAGAGAGAAATTATCAGCCAACAATATTATATCAAGCAAAGTTATCCTTTAGATATGAAGGAGGAATAAAAACATTTCCAGACATAGAGAAGCTGAGGGAATTTTCTAACACATGACCTGTATTACAAAAAATACTGAAGGAGGATATTTGACCTGAAACAAAAAAAATCAAAAGAATATAAAGCCATGAGAAAGATTACTAACAGACAGACAGAAGCAGGAAGTGGCAACCCCTACACAAATTATGGTACTATGTAATTAAACATAACATACAGGGTAAAAAGATAAAAACATAAAAATAAAAGAGAAGAAGAAGATAATTTTATACTGCAACTCAGAAATGAACTCACAGCATAAATAGAGATAAAGGGGCATTATCAACAATAAGCAAAACCTTTAAAGGCATATTATTCTCCAAACAGTACTTCTCCATTTCATTGTCATAGCAATGTAGGAGGACATCTTGGAAGAGAAGCTGGGTCATCCATTACTTTTTTTTTAAAGATTTTTTTTATTGGGGAATTAGGAAGGGCAACAGAGTTGGGGAATTGGGGAAGGGGAACAGCCAAGTTGTCCTCCAATCTTAGTTGTGAAGGGCGCAGCTAGCTCAGCTTCAAGTCCAGTCGCCATCTGGCCGCCTGTAGGCAGCTTGTAGCTGCTCAGCTCAAGGTGCTGTGTTCAATCTTAGTTGCAGGTGAGCATAGCCCACCATCCCATGCCAGAGTTGAACTGGCAACTTTGTTGTTAGGAGCACGAGCTCTCACCAGCTGAGCCATCTTGCCACCTGTTGGCAGCTCAGCAGCAGCTCAGCTCGGGTTCAGCTCACTGGCCCATGTGGGAATCGAACTGGCGACGCTGTTGTTCAGAGCTCATGCTCTTAACCAACTGAACCACTTGGCTGGCCCCATCCATTATTTTTCATTGCTCCTGTAGTACACTGACACTGCATACTTATTGATACGCTTGAAGGCCCTGGGGTTCTCACTGTGCCAGTACAAAGGGTTTCAATTTGTAGCCTGTAACATTGCCTCCAAGCAAGACTGTTATCTTGTCTTTAAAAGCCTTGAGGGCTGGCCGAGTGGCACGTTGGTTAAGAGCTGGCTTCGGACACCAGAGGGTCCCGGTTCGGATCCCACATATGAGGGCCAGTGACGCTGCCCTCTACAGCTAAGATGCTGAACAACAGCTCAACCTGGAGCTGGGCTGCCAAGAGTCACCAGCGACAGCGTAGGCTGCAGCCCCTGCTGCAGTGGGTTGCCATGGGCTACCGTGTGTAGCCAGCAGCCAGTGTGAGCGGCCAGCAGCCGCCGTGAGTGGCCATCCAGAAGCTGGCAACTGATCTGCCTCTCCAGGGAAGAGCGCAATGATGGTGCCAACTTGGGCCAGTGAAGCAACGTCCTCCACAACTAGACTGAAGAACAAAAGGACAGTAACTTGTCTGTTCCCCTTCCCCCAATTCCCCAGCGCTGTTCCCATCCCCCAATTCCCCAATAAAAATATTTAAAAAAATTTTTTTTAAATAATAAAAAAATAAAAGCCTTGAAACTTGGCATTGACTTGGCCTCTTTATGGATGACAGTCATTTCAGGCACCTGTTTTCAGAATAGGGAGCTTTCATCCATGTTGAATATTTGCTCTGGCAAATCATTTTTCTCCACGAGCAGTTTATCAAGAATTTCCAAAAATTTTTCAGCTACCTTCACATTAGCACTCAGACTCACAATTCACCTTCACATTATGTAATAAATAACTACAGAGGGTGCCAAAAAAAAGTATACATATTTTAAGAAAGGAAAACTGGATTAAAATTGTAATACTCAATATAAACCAATAACAAAAGATGAATGCAAATCATGTTTGACTTTTGCAATTACAAGAGGTGCTTAAAGTGGTCACCATCAGCATCCAGACACTTCTGATTATGGTGAACTACTGCTTGAGCAACATTGACCAAAGTGTCCACTTGTATACATTTTTTTGACACCCATGGTATTCTCGAATCATTGAAACCAACAAGGACTAGCAGTGAATTCCACACTGTAGTCATGTCCAGCTTTTTCTTTCAACATCACAAAGAACCTTTTTGCTTAGGTCATGATTATCTTGGTGCTGAAAGGGATCTCTTACATGTCTGCTCTTCAATTCTGGTCATTAGAAATTTCTCCACATCTGATATAAGTTCTTCTCAAATTTTTGTCAGTCTTGTTTCCTTCAATGAAGCAGGTCCTTTAACAGCGTCCATCACTTTTTCTTGTTCTTCAAGATCATAGGTATGGTGGAATGGGACATGACTGACTGGTGAGCAGTAAGAATCACTGATGCTTATAGTCCACCGTCCTTATTCACTTTTAGTGCTTACTCACTTTTAGTTTTGTTTTTAGGTCAATCACTCATTGTGGCCTCTTATGGGCAACATTAGCAATGAATCTTGTACACTTAGGGGCCATAATGAACAGATCAACATGAGAGTAAATCAATAACAAGAAGAAATGATACAATCAAGAGACATGGTAAACACAAGGTGTATGAGGCTGCTGCCAGCATACATGGCATAGTGTTTTACAGCAAATTGTTGGGTTTTTTTATAGGTAGAAAGAGTACACTCTAAAATAATGAATAAAAGCATAGTATAGTAAATATATAAATCAGCAATGTAACCATTTATTATAATTAAGTATTATGTACTGTACATAACTGTAATGCTATACTTTTATATGACTAGCAGTGCAGCAGGTTTGTTTACATAAGCATCATCACAAACATGTTATTAAGGCATTGTGCTATGATATTACAATAGTTATGACATCACTAAGCAATAAGAATTGTTCAACTCCACTATAATCTTATGGAACCACTGTTGTACATGTTGTCTTGTTGACCAAAATGTCATTATAAATGCATGACTGTATTCTGGGCACCAAACTCTTGTCATTAATATGTTACACAAATACTTGTTACCACTTTGTGGCTTGTATTTATGATAATTTTTATTGAACAAAAGTTAATTTAATGTAGTCAGATGTGTCATTCTTATCTTTTGTAATTACCACTTTTGCATCGTTCTTGAAAACAAAAATTTCTACCTCAAAGTCAGAATAATCTTTATTTTCTTGTGAGCATATTGACATACTTTTCATACTTAAATTCACTTGGAATTGAGTTTTATATATATAGTAAGATAGATGGCCAAATTCATTTTAATTTTTAAAATGATAACCAATTATTCCAGCACCTTTGTTTGAGGAGCTCTTCCTTTCCCCACTAGTCTGTAATTCTACCTCTGTCATCTATCAAAATTCTATGTAAGCATAGGTCAGTTTAGGCAATCTCTATTCTGCTCCATTGGTCAATTTAGCTCCTTGTACCAAAATTACACTGTCTTAACAACTAATTTTGTAATAAATCTTAGTTATCAGGAAAATAAACTCCTCTTACTTTATTTTAGTTTTAAGTACTTGGACCTTTACTTTTCCATACAAATTTTAGATCAGGTTTTTGGAATTGTATTAAATTAAAAGATCACTAGGAATGAATTGATATTGACTTTCTCCATTTATTTAAATATCTTTAATTTTTGTTGGAGGCCTTCAAGGTTAGCATTGAGCTAAATGATTCCTTTAGAATGATTCTAGGTATGCAGAAAAAACTGTTACAATCGTGGTTATGACTTATTGTGGCAAAAAGATACAGATTAAAATTAACATGGGGCAAATTTGAGGAGAAACTGAGCATAAGCTTCCAAGTGTCATCTCGCAATGGAGTCACATGGATAAGTGCAATTTACTCAACAGCAATGCAAAGTGACAATAGATATAAAGTGTTGTCAACCAGGGAGGCTCACCTGAGCTTTAGAGTCAGGATTTTTTAGGAGTTAGTCATGCAGGCATGCAAAACCTGAGTTACTGACTTCAAGTACTCAGACTCCAGCCCTCCAGAGCAAAAACAAGTGTTCACCATAAATCACATAGTTAGCATAAATTATCTGATCAAACAGATATTGTATGGCTCAAGGCCTATAGCACACAAAAACAGTTATCAGAAGAAAATTTCAAGAGCTCAAAGCAAGTTTTTTTTAACTATTTTAAAGATATAATTTCAAACTTACAGAAAAGATTCAAGCATAGTACAAAAACTTCTAAACATTTATATAGCTATCCCAATTATTTACATTTTATCCCACTGTTTATCTTTCTCCTTCCTTCCTTTTTCTTACCTTCCTTCCTTTCATCTATCTATCTATCTATCTATCTATCTATCTATCTATCTATCTATCATCTATCTATCTATCATCTATCTATCCATCTACTTTATTTCCAAATTACTTAACAGTAAGTTGAAGTCATTACGTCACGATACCCCTAAATATCTAAGTGTGTATTCCCTAAAAAGAAAAGTATTCTGTTATATAATTGCAGTATAGTTAATAAAAATTAGTGTATATGTGATATATACAGAGATAGACTAATACATATATATTGTATTTGACCCTGTTTACACTCATCTACCACCCCTCTCTCCTGTTACCCTCTGGTAACAACTAAATTATTGTCTGTGTCTATGAGTTTTTGTTTCTTCATTTGTTTGTCTTGTTCCTTTGTTGCTTTCAGTTGATTTTAATGGCTCATGAGCCCGAGAATTTCCAGTTTCTCTTAGGTAAATGTTTGAGGGCCTTGAAAGAGATTGTGTGGAATTGAGCCAAATATCTGGAAACTATTTTATGCTGTCAGTCTATCTCAGTTTACTTGGTCTATCAAAGACATCACAATAAACTGCCTTGCTTTCAAGTATTCATTTTTCGATATGCTGGTTCTCAGAAAGGGAGCCTTTCCTACTTTGGGGGTCTCTAAGAGAAAAGCATAGCCATTCTGACCGTGGTGAGGTCGTATCTCATTGTGGTTTTTATTTGCATTTCTCTAATGATTACTGATGTTGAGCATTTTTTCATATGTCTGTTGTCCATCTGTATGTCCTCTTTAGAAAAATGTGTCTTCATGTCCTCTGCCCATTTTTTAATTGGGTTGTTTGTTTTTTTGGTGTTAAGTTGTATCCGTTTTTAGAATAAATTTTGGATATTAACCCTTGTCAGATGTATCATTGACAAATGTCTTCCCCCATTCAGTAGGATACATTTTTGTTTTATTGCTAGAAATCCAGAACACAAATTCAAAAAAAATATATGCACCCCTATGTTTACTGCAATGCTATTCACAATAGCCAAGACATGGAAACAATCAAAATGCCCATTAGTAGACAACTGGATTAAGGAACTGTGCTACATTTATACCGTGGAGTATTACTAGGCCACAAAAAAGAATGAAATCGTACCATTTGCAATGATATGGATAGACCTAGAGAATATTATGCTAAGTGAAATCAGTCAGACAGAGAAAGACAAATACTGTATGATCTCACTTATATGTGAAATCTAAAGAACAGAATAAATGAGCAAACTAAACAGAAATAGTCTCAGAGATACAGAGAAAAAGCTGATGGTTGCTAGATGAGAGGGGGGTGGGGATAGGGGAGAAGTTGGGGGAAAGGTAAAGGGATTAGAAAGTACAAATTAGTAGCCACAATATTGCCACAGGAATATGAAAGACAGTATGGGGAATATAATCAATAATATAAAAATTTTGTAGGGTGTCAGATGGGCACTTATCTCCTTAGGGAGGCCACTTATGGACTGTGTAGATGCCTGACCATTGCAGTGTACACCTGAAGCTGAAGCTGAATAATATTGAATGTCAACTATAATTTATATATATATATATATATATATATATATATA